ACCCGAGTGGGTTGCGATACCAAGACGCACGGATCATGATGCATCAGGTAAATCAGTGTAATAAACGGTTATTCGTTGCACCTGTCAAGTAAAAAGAGTCATGTCATTAATTAAAAACCAATATACTTTTTATTAGCATTACATCCAAGACAACCATCGAGGCCCTCCGTTCGACAGACATCAAGCGATGCAAGCAGCCAGTACGTTCAAGTTTAACAAATATATCATGTGATAAAATACGATGGATGCTAACGTAATTTTATTCAAGGGCATCTACTTCACGTCCTACGACTACGGCGAAACCTCCTCCAACAAAGAAGAAACAGTCGCTTTACGATATGTTGCGCGCCGAAAACTTTACAGATCCCTTATTAGGGTATCGGCATGCGCAACGTAAACCCAATTAACATATAGATTTGCTAATTGCATATTAATATTATTATGTATATATTTAAGTATTTGTATTAATAAAGCATTGCTACTCAAAAATTGTGTCAGATTTGTGGTACTAGGATACAACGCACAACGAATCAATTTATTCCTTATCTCATTTATTGTGACCCGCTTTTATAAATTGTAACTAGAATAATATGTTTGGGGGCTGCGCCCCTTTATTTGGTTTACATGGACTTGAAGATTGTGTTTTGTTGGTAGCTATAGAAAGGTGGATATTTTAGACTAATTTATTATTGGGATTAATTTAATATTTGGGAAAAGTCTAATTTTGCGAATGCAATTTCAGATATTTTTTTAGACGAGCGTAATTGCCTTTTGCGTGGTTGACGGGATGGTTCGGTTTGAGGAGGATTTGTTTTGTTGTTGGTATCGGTGGACGAGTCATTGAAGTTAGAAGTGGTAAGTGAGGGTATCTCTTGGTTTGTTTCTTTATTTTTATTTTCGATTTTAAGTTTTTTAGGTTGGCTGTTTGTAATCCCGTTTATGAGTAGTAGAGGAGGATGAAGCGGACGTATAAGAGGATGAGTTTGTTTTCGTACAACATCCAATTCTCCCACGATGGAGACTTTGGACCCTAAATTAGCTTTTTTGTTCATTCGTACAAGTTTTTCTGCGCCACGTTATGCCGAACGGTAATATGTTTATACGTTGTCATTATTAGTAGAAGATTGGTTATATAAGTCACTATAGTGTCCGGGAATAAGACTCGGCGTGCATATATAGAGGGCGTGCATATATGGAGGGTGGACTGCAGAACTACGCAGCAATCATGTCATTCATAAATATCAATACGACAAAGTTTATCAACCGAGTTTCTTGTAAAATCAAAATCTCGCTTTATCTCACCGAGCCCGAGGTGAAAAAATGCGAGCTACAACTGCTGTCCGAAAGGCTTTTACAAATCTCCCTTTTACGCTCTGGATTAGGTATAGTGATTATCAGCCATTTAGTCTCGAATTTGAGACAGGATACGTGGATAAATTGAAGGCGGTGGTCAAGCGTGAGCTAAACGACTTGAGGGAAGTGAATAGGGGTAATCGAAAACACGAAAGTACTGTTTACTTGGAAGCAGACGTACAGTGTGTAACAAACCGGATATTTGTTTCAGGAGGATAATGGATGCCAAATTTTATGTAGAAATTCTCCAGAAACATATGACGGAAGTAAATAGGATGCTTGGAGGTAGATGGAGACAACTATCCAAAACACACGAGTCGTCTTGCTACAGAGTCGTTGAAGAAAACATTCCGGCGGTTATGGACTGGCCATCGAATAGTCCCGATTTAAATCCGACAGAAAACCTTTGGAGAATTGTCAAGAATAACGTAGAGAGGCGTACGCCAAAAAATCTTGGTGAACTGGAGATATTTAGAATTTCGGAAAGCATGTTAATTAATTTAGTAAAACCAATGAGACAAAGTTGTGAGCTCATTATTGAGAGGAATGGAGAACGGTTTTCTTATTAATTGTTATCAAATAAATTTGGTTATTTTTCTCTTTCAATGACCCATTTTTTATAAAAATTGACTAACTTATTGAGGAGCAATGACAAAATAAAAATATTCGGTTTTTTTTACACACTGTAATTGTGGACAAAAGCTTTAGAAATACTGCCAAAACGTTTCTTCAAATTCTACCATTGGTAAGCCTTGCGTTGGCACGAACGTGGCGCGCGCGAGTAATGTCATCACGTCCGCGTTGTATATTCCAAACTTACACTGGTATATTAACAGGTAAGCCGAAAACTTTCATTATTTAATCTCAGGACAATGAGCAGTACGACGAATTTGAAGAATATACAATGCGTAACGATAAGGAATATGTTAGCTTTTTGGAAAGAGCTGACGCAAGAAGGCTTGGGACCTATGTCTAATTACAGTACAAGCCCAACAGTTGTTACCTCTCTAAACTATTACCACATAATACCCGGTGAACTATATGCACTGAAGTCTCTCCATTGAGAAAGAAGTTACCTGGCCGAAATGAGAACAAGGTGATAGGGGGTAAAACGTTACTAGCAATAAAGAGCTATGCCAAATAAAAGTACAACTCAAAATGGGACAGGATCATTGTTTGTGATAATAAAGTAGTTTTAATCAAATCAGGACACAATACAGTGAACTCTCTTTCCGCATAAGTAAGACGAACAACCAGTTATCTTTGCAAAAAAAATTTAAATTAATTAGTCCACTCTCTTATGAATTTAAATTATGATTTTTTTTTTGGTAAAAAAATCTGTCAATATATGAATTGTAATATTATAAAAAGCCACAATAATAGATAACTGATATTGATACTAATTTATATTGATATTAATATTGAGGATCATATAAATATAAATAATAATACTGTAATAATAAAATTTAGCTGGAATGATTGCTACAAAAGTTACTTATTATTATTAAAGGATTTCGAGGTTAGTACAGTGCTGTTAAACAAAATCACACGATAAATCAGTTGATTCCAAGAAAAATGTGACTAGAAGAAACCCGTTATTACTCAAACTAATAATTACACTATAATTGGCAACGGATGCTCTTGTATTCATTGATAAGGAATTGTTTTGCGAGTTGAACGAATTGCACGTCCAAAGACACGTGGTTTTGGACTAACGTTTCCTCCTTACCTTGTTGACATAAAATAATTTTAGAACTCATTGTCGCATCAAAACATCTACATGTAATAGATTACTATTACTAGCAACAAGTTTGGCATTAGCCAAGGCACGTTCCGGAACTTTCTTTTCCTGTTCGTTCTTGATATGCTGAAAAGAATTATTCAGTAATGTAGAAAGTTGACTGTCATAAATGCCGTGCAAATGATTTATTCTGACAAAGCGCTGTTAGTATGTTTTTTTAAAATTTAGATTTACCTGGTTAGTTTCTCCTTTTATAGTATGCATATGTAAACAAGACGCAAATGAACAGATGACGGTATGCGCGTAAAAGCGTCGCAAGAATAGGACCAATCAATACGATATTTGTTAATACATAAATTGTGTTGGGAAAATAAATAAATACGGTATCGATTATTGTTTGATCTCTGAACAAATTTTATTTACATGTTGGTCTAACACAAAATTGACAGAGTATCTGACTTGCGCTAAACACACTGAGAGTCTGTGATTTCCCCAATAGAATTGACATGCTGTGAATGTCACGGGACTAGGATTTTGGGGTGATATGAGTACAATATCTCTGCTGCAAGTCAGTATCTCCTTTCGATCATGCCTCAGAGTCAATTATCTGGCAGGGAGCGGTTGGACAAAATTATTGAAGAGGGATCAATCGAATGTTATCCAGAAAGTGAAGTCATTGACCGTCAAATTATCGGTCATGGTGGATTTGCGTTAGTATACAAGGCAAAATTAAACCGTTCAGGAACAGTTGTTGCAGTAAAAAAGCTTTCTCCAGATGCGTATATCGATGAAGAAGAATTATACAAAAAGTTTGTGAAAGAGGTTGTTGTCTGCTTTGATTTTGAGCATCGGTTGCTTTGCTCAATGATTTCCAACTGATAAAGCATCAATCGATTTACACTTTAGTTGGAAAATAATCGGAAAGTTGAACCTCATCCAAATATCATTCGATTCTTAGGGCTATGTAGAGGTATATTTGATGCCAATGAAACTCTGTATTCATTTGTCTTTATCACATTCTTATAATAATTGCGTATAAACAGACACTTCCCATTATCTTATGGTCTTCGAATTTGCTGATGATGGTACTCTGCGTACATACTTGACGGGACATTTCAATGATTTAACATGGGTGAATAAGTGCAAGCTAGGTCTGGATGTTGCAAGTGGATTGATGTATTTGCACGAGCTCGCCATTATTCACAAAGATTTGGTATTGTGTTGTTGCTGTTATTTTTGTTTTTGTTTGTTTGTTGTTTGTTTCATTCATCTCCCATGTATTTGGAAATTACATCCCGCCCGGATACTAATACTTGTTTGAATGTACAGTCATCCACTAATGTCCTTGTGCGGGATGGCGTCGCAAAGATAACAGACTTTGGCTTGTCTAGCATATTAAAACAAACAATGTCCACATCAAGGGGTGAAGGCAATACAGCATACATTGATCCGATGTCTTTTAAAGATGAGTCATTTAGACGCGGAAAGACATCGGACATTTTTAGCCTCGGGGTAATACTCTGGGAAATCTCAAGCGGAAGCATTCCGTGTGAAGGACGTACTCAAAGTTACGAAATCTTTGTGTACAGACTGAGGGGGTCGCGCGATCCTGACGTTTCAGGAACGCCAAGAGAGTACATAGAGCTATATTCAAAATGCTGGGATGAAAATCCTGATGAACGGCCACCATGTGAACAAGTTTGCGAACGATTAGGGATACTGTACGAGAAACTAAGTCAGCATTTTTCGCAATGGCCCGCTACTACATCCGAATGGAAAATGACGAAACAGGTGGACAATTATAACGAAAAGACGTATAGAAGTAATCGATTAATTCCACCAGAGGATAGAACACCCAAGGTCTACAAGGCTGAAGAATATAGAGTTTATGACGAGATCTGAATTATGGTTGATGCACCCTTAAAATTTTGCCATTTACTAGTAGAGTCATATTTATCGTATGAGCAGTGGTAATTAAATTAGACAAATTTATTGAACAAATACACTTGGAATCAAGTTTAAACGGCAAGCGATGGAATTAAAGATACTCTTTACAACACAATACCAATAGCAAAATTTAATTTTAATACAGAATAATAACATTATTACTGGCTTATATAAAAAACTATTCGAGTAACCTTGAAAAGGTTGAATTACAAGCTTTTACAGGGCTGGTTAATACAAGCTATTTGAGCCTAGCTAATTTGGTACTAGTGGCCACGTGATATAGAGAATCACATGCCGGTCACTTTAGCATGATGCATTATACTACGCGTAAGTGTTTTTTCATTTGTTTTATTATAAATAACTGCT